AGAGTGGTAGGGAAAGGAACCCTAGTAAGGCATAGGAACTGTCTTAGCGCCTAGGGTGATCTATAGTGCGAGTGAAGTAATTGATATTAGGGAAGTGAGTTAGAGGATTTGAGACGGTCCTTTAGGAATGTATAGATAGGCGTGGAAGGTAGTATTGAGCACATACTACTGAAAGCACATGATTTATAGCCGAGACAAGGAGGCCCACAAGGACTTTGAGAAACTTCAAGCGTGTGAACCTCTTCGTGCGTGTAATGACTGCTTACATATTGTATTTCAACATGGTGATGACACATGGTGGAGTAAGAGGTTTAGGATTGGGATCTTGTTCGGGCTCGGGCGTTGAACCAATTTATGAGGCGCTACATAAGTTTATCGTGTCTGAGATTACGAGAGGTATCCTTCATGCGACCTCGGTGATGTTCAATATGATCAAGGAAGGTATCATTAAGTTAATGGAAGAGATTTTTCCGGCCTTTAGATATGAGTTAGCTATTGGATAGTACGGAGCCCACACTCTTTCCGTCAAGGATTTACGGGGATATAGGGCACGGGAGTTCTTTGGGGTGAAGGAACCCATTGTCACCAGGCATTGGATAGCTGGCATGGAGTGTACCTAAATGACTAGCTTCTGCCACGAGGGATCAAACGTGAGGTTTGATGCATGTTATCTGAGGGAGTGATCCCGGGACTGGTGGGAGGAGGTTTGATATGCTCTAGGAGCAACAGCTATTGAGGCCATAACCTAGCCTGACTCTGTGGTCCAGTTTCGAGAATAGTTTACACCGGATGTTGAGGTGCAATATCAAGAAAGGGAATTCTAGGACATGCATAAAATGACTAAGACTGTGGCAGAGATCACCACCAAGTTTCGAGGCATAACTTTATTAGTGCCCCAGTTTGCTGCAAACGAGGAGATGAAGAAGACCCGGTGCCACAACATGCTGAGAGAAAATATTAAGGAGTTTGTTATTTATTCAACATGTTCGACATTGGAGTACATGATATCTAGAGCCCGGGAATAGGAGATCGATTTGGAGCACATAAGAAGGAGGAAGGGAGAGCGGGTATAAACGGTCGGGGGTTCAGCAAAGAAACCCAAGGTTACAGATTCTAGATCGAGGGGACAGCAGGTTTGGGGCCGTTGTAGCAAGTATGGCAGGATGCATGACTAGATTTGAAGGGCAGGTGGTTCATGTTGTTATAAGTGCTGCAAGACAGGGCACTTCGACAGGGATCGAGCTGCAACCACCACCACTACCCATTGATTGCACTCCATCCACCAATATTCAACATTTTTATGATTTGACTTGTACTCTAATGATTATTTTATACATTATCACATTTTGATGGATTTGAAATGAATGAATGACGGTTTTTCTAGTTTTAAAAATAAAAATTTTAGATGGTATTTTTGTGTTGTTACGGGGTAAGGGCCAAGCATGGTAAATTCCTGAAAATATCATATCCCACAATACAGATACAATGCATACATATAATGGTCTTCAACATAAAGTTGGTCCGCTTCTTGGCCTTCAACATAAATTTGGTCCGCCCTTTTTTCCTTCAGCATAAAGTCGGTCCGCTACATGGATTTCAGCATAATGCTAGTTCGCTTGAGTCTTTCGGCCTTCAACTCAAGGCTAGACCACACTCAACTCCCTACATAATATAACCAACACATAAAAACAATCCAAATATACAGGTAACTTATAGAACTAGTCTAACTGCATACAATAGGGAAACTATATCCTAACATATATATATATATATATATATATATATATATATATATATATATATATATATATATATATATATATATATGCTAAAGTATATAGTATAGTGACAAAACTCAGTTGGATAATTACTTAGACAATTGATAACTATTTGGGTAGGGCGTAGCCATATAGGTGCAAGAGTGAGCATTGGCCCACCCACACAAATTTGAGATTATATATATATATATATATATATATATATATATATATATATATATATATATATATATATATATACGAGTAAATTACTGAAATCTTCCCTATGGTTTTGTTAAAATTACATGTTTGGTCCCTAAATTTTTTTTGCACTCGGATCGTCCCTATGGTTTGATTTTTATTGTGTTTTTCGTCCTTATGGTTTGGTCAAAATTGCACGTTTGGTCCCTAACTTTATGTATGTAAGGGATGAAAAACGCAACAAAATCAAACCACAACGACGATCTGAGTGCTAAAAAAAAGTTAAGGACCAAACGTGTAATTTTGACAAACCATAGGAACCATTTCAGTAATTTACTCTCTCTCTCTCTCTCTCTCTCTCTCTATATATATATATATATATATATATATATATATATATATATATATATATATATATATATATATATATATGTTCAGGTTCATTTCAGACCATGCTAATTTTGTGAGACCGTAAGACCAAATATAAAAATAATTTTAAAATTCAAAATAAAAGGAAAAATCCAAAAATTCTTTTTTTAATTATTATTTTTGGAACTTTAATTACCTAAAAAATAAAAAGATAAAAAAAATACTGTGTTTTTTTTTTTTGAAAAGTACGAGAAATAATGAAATAGAATATTACACTGTAAATATTCTAATGTGATTTTAAAACTTTTAGAATATTCTACTAGATTTGTCTGATATATAGAATATTTTAATATTCTACTAGAATATGTAAAAAAATGTATTTTTTTTATGTTTTTAATTGTTTTTGGTATTTTATTTTATTTTTTTGGAAAATATAAATTTCGAAAATAATATTTGAAATTTTTTTTTGAAAATTCTCAAATATTTAGCATTTTAAAAATGTTTTTTTTAATCTAGTAAATGAGTGGCTAGGATTGCATCTCATGGCCTCACAAAATTAGGCGGTTTCACATGAACCTAACCATATATATATATATATATATATATATATATATATATATATATATATATATATATAATTAGGCGGTTTCACATGAACCTAACTATATATATATATATATATATATATATATATATATATATATATATATATATATATATGTGTGTGTGTGTGTGTGTGTGTGTGTGTGTGTGTGATATGTACAATATATTTCTGTTAAATGGAATTAGGATTGTGACACGACATATCCCATTTAAAAATTGAAATTTAGTAGAAGGGAGTACATTGTTGCATATGTTGATTAGACTCCATTTTATATTATTTTAATGATGTACGACAACACCGTGTGCAACTTAAATAAACAACTTAGTTTAAAATACACATCTAGTTACATTTTGTTATCGTGTGAATAATTGTGCATTCATATTTTGTAATTTATTTGGCATACACTAAAACAAAATCATGGCTACACCACTGTTACGGGGTGATCCTATTGGCGATCTAACTACAGCTAACGCGCCTAACAAGTATTATCATATAATGCTATAACCTATTAATCTCTATGATAATTTGGTAATGAAAGCTAGATCTTCCACTAATGCCAATGAATACTGAAACTTTATCAAATAAGGATCATCCACACAAAACAGTTGGGAGATAGGACCATTTCGACATATAGCTTTTTTGAAATCTAACAACCAATCAACGTGCCCATTCTAGACACCTATCCCGTAGCCGCAAGTAAATCAATCAATATTATGACTGGAATTATTGAAAATCTTATTTATGCATTCATAACGACGACTATTAATATAGATACAAGTTACACTTAAGGCGTATTAAGTATAGCCTAACTTATACAGAGTTTCTAACAAAAAATGGGAATCGCACGGGTAGAAACTTGACTTGAAAGCTCTATCTCGCAGGTTCTCCAAGGCCTTATTGCAAATACTTTACAGCACAAGTCATAAATTTAGAGGGAAAAATGTTCTTTAGAGAGAGAAACCCGAGTATGATAGTGTATGGAATGAGGGAGGCTTATGTCAATATTTATAGGGGATTTTTGTCAGGTACTCAACGTGCATGTAAGGTGCGCAACACATGCTCCTACGACATCGCTCCTCCCAGCTCGTGCCACGTGTCGCAATTCCGGAGGTCTGCATCCCACCTTCTAGAAGCATTATGTGTTGTATGCTACGAGAGTTAATTATTTTATAAAAATCTTATCTTCCTCATACGTGCTCTATGTATGATGTTTTTTATATACACGCATAGCTATCAATAAGTACTACAACTTTAGTTTAGACTCCGTCAGCTAATTCACCTTATTTTTAAAAGGTTTAAACTACTAAAACCTGTATAAAAATCATAACTGTTCCATATGGCATTCATCACTACTAGAAAAAAGGCCTTTTACGACGCTCATTGCGCGTCGTAAAAGGCTCAGACGACGCGCAAATGCGCGTCAAGGAAGGCCATGTCATAAAGATAGACGACGCGCATATGCGCGTCGTCTAAAGACGATGCGCATTTACGATGCACATTTACGACACTCCCTTATGATACGCAATGCGCGTCAAGGAAGGCCATGTCATAAGTATAGATGACGTGCGGATGCGCGTCGTCTAGAGACGACGCGCCCTTATGATACGCATTGCGTGTCAAGGAAGGCCATGTCATAAAGGAAGATGACGCTCAAATGCGCGTCGTCTGTAGACGACGCGCGCTTATGATACACAATGTGTGTCAAGGAAGGCCATGTCATAAAGAAAGACGACGCTCATTCGCATGTCCTAACCTTACGTCTCTCGTTTTTACTACGCGCCTTTACGACGTGCATTTAAAACACACATTTACAACGTGAATACACATAATAAATGACAAATATACCAAAACATTCATTTTCATCTAATTGTCAAACAACTTTACATATATGTTGAATTACCTAAGTTGTAACTACATGTTACCTTAAGTAACATTACTAAAAGTTAGCAAAAAATTGTACATGTGTCTCAAAAGACTACCTAGCATTACACATGTCAAAAGACCATACCTAGCATTAGTGGTTAACCATAACATTGTTTTGCGGATACATTGTCAAAAGATCATACATATCATCGATAAATGAAGCCTGTAACAAATGTTGACCATTCTTCACGTATCTCATCGATATCAGCAGTTGTGTACTCAACTTTGCCATCCCCGATCTGTGAAAACATTTGCATATTGTTTTTATTAATAAAAAATAGCATATTAACATATTCTGTAATAGTAAGTTGATATATTTAACAACTAAGCATAAAATGTAAATTATTCTTTCTTAATAGAGCATTGTACTTTCAAATGAATGAAAGCACATATTCTGTAACAGTAAGGATGCCATGAATTATAGTAATGAAAGTAGAATGCTATATCCTTACATTGTCTTTGACCAACACTTCAATTCCTTCTTCCACTATCTCCTTCATGAACCTTAGCATGTAGTAGCCACATTCGGTAGATCCAGGCTGAACTGGACACTACACAATTACATATAAAATGATCATTTCAATTGATCCAAAAAATAAAGTTAAAACTACAATTTTAATAACGAATTAAGTGCTGACCGTAACATTAACCCAATTTAGTTTAACCCTTTTGTTGGATCCACTTTGTGTAGTGTACAGAACCATCGCCCTATAAAAAAACATTAACAAATATGTGTTTATTGTACTCACATCAAGTGTTTTGATAATTTATATTACTTACGAATCAACAATTTGCTTTAACTGCATATTGAAATTGGTAGAGCTCAAGGAATCAAGATAATAGCAAGTATCCGATTTCATGTCTAGTACACCCAATACCCAATGTCTTCTACAAAAACCACAAAAAAATGTCAAATAACATAATTGCAGTCATTTTAAAAATAAAATGTCAAATAACAATACCCGGGATTGTAGGGCATAAAGATGATGTCATTGCCCTTTCTTTTAGACAACCGATCTGCTAAACCTCTGCTTGCATCGTCAATATTCTTAGATTTCCCTTTACGCGTACTTGGTGAGATTACTGTCGGGTTCACAAAGAAAATTCCATGGTCTTTTTCTGGGGAGCCATACTTCAATTTCTTAAACAACACCCTGTTATCATACAAACACTAAATTCATTAAAACATTTTTTTTAAGACACATTGTTATTTAAATTAAATTTCTTGCACTTACATCATATAAGACACAATAACAGCACCGGTCAGCTCATCCATTGTAAGAACTGCTTCAAAATCATCCCAAGTTAAGTACGTGTAACTATCGTACCCAAAAAGATCATTCTCACTCTGCACTCTTATAGAATCAACCTTTGTAACTTGTCCATCAGCCATCATTGCAGTCATTTTCAAAATACTACTGTTCTCAATCCTTATCCTTGTCTTCATCTGTGCTCTGGTCCACCTTCTTTGCACGGTCACATTTTGTTTCTCCTTTTTAATCTTCTTTTCTATTCCAATCAGTACTTCTTCCACATCATTCCCTTCTTCCACATTATTCCCTCCTTCCATATCACATGGTTGTTTTTCTCCATCAACCATTTTTCCTGTCCCCTTTTCTTTCTTATTACTTCCTATTTCTTCTTTTGGAGGTGTTGCATCTTCCTTCACTGGTGTTGCATCTTCATTCAGTGGTGTTGCAGCTTTCTTCACTGGTGTTGCATGCTTTTTCACAGATTTCGCCACCACTTTTCCCTACAAATGCAATCAAAAATACAAATAGTATTACCAGAAAAATTAAGATAACCAAGGGAAAATATGTTCAAATAGTATTACCAGGTCAGAGCATCGAATAACTAAGTGTCTTGGCCAACTTAGTATGTGTCCTAGTGCATCTTTGACCTTCACAATGAACTCCTCTTCAAGTGGAAAGGGTACTAAAGCTTCTCCTTGCAAAATTGTTTCAATCATAACTTCAATGTTTTCATCTGTTACATAAACATAAAAAATAATTAAGATCCAATCTTCTAAAAAATGAAAATATATAAATAATAATAATGCAAATATATTTCAAAATACCCGATGCTTTCATTATGGTTCCTTTAGCAACTACATTTGCAGCAAATTCAACCGCAAGAAGACATGAATTATCCTGAAAAATATAGTATGTTAGTTTGTAGAAAAACAAAATTATTTAAATATATTTTTCATAATTGTCTTCAAGGACTTACAAGTGATTCATTATGTGGTTGTTTTTCAAAATCTTCAATGACGCCCCCTATTTGGCAACTTGCAGCTTCAGAAACATTAAGTACACCTCTTTTTAGTTTCTCCAATTCATCTTCAAGTTTGTTGATCCGTTTATCCACCCTCTCGTTCTCAATCTCCAAGTAATACTTAACATTCTTGGGTAAATAAAAGTATTGTTGTGGCGTTATAAATCTACCATCCCTCGTACACGCCCACGTTGTTCCTGAGTACCCAACGCCTCTGTAAGCACATCATGTGTTCCACATGTAACCTCTCCAAAGCTTCCCGATTTCTAAGCTCATCCTGTAAAATAAAATGGGACAAATGTTAGAAAAATAAAATGGGACAAATGTATTTTTTTATATATTTGGGAATTAATGAAACTTACAATTTTATCAACAATCGTCTTCACATCTGCATCGTATCCTCCTGTCTTCAATCTCTTGCCTTTTTCCACAGCAGTGTCCTATCAATCTCCTCTTCCGTCTTGCCGGTTTCTTGCATCTAAATTATCAAGAATAACAAAGTCAATTAACATATATATATATACAAATAAAATAATCAATATTCATGGGAATCATACAATGTCATTAATGAGTCCAGCATATCCTTTTCTGCTCAAACGATGATTGTATTTATGATGTGCACGAGTATTTTTAGCTTTCATACTTTTCTCCTGCATTAGAAACATTAAAATTATAAATACAAACATTAAAATTGTAACTACAAATGCATATAATAAAAGTTTAACAAACCTCCCACTTCTTTGTAACTCTATGGGATACAAAAACTTTCCAACTTCTTTCTTTATAAACGGATAATCTTTCGGAGGTTTGAATAGATTTGCCTTGGTATCTTTACTTCGGTTCTTAATGAACTTGGCATATAGATAATGCTTGAAGTTTCTCCACTTCTTCCCGATCGATTGGAGAATTTGCTTCCGACTCTTTGGGTCAACTACAAACTTTTCCTGAAACATAAAAAAAGGTTGGTTCAAAAACAAAACTGAACAGGGACAAAAACAGATCTGAACAAAGGTAATAACAGGAAGAAAACAGAGACTTACCAAAACATATTGCCATAATCCTTCCCTTACTTCCTCACTAACTTCCAGCCACGAGTCATAGGTTATGGGAACCATTGTTCTTGCAACCAAACCCTCAAAAGTAGACAGTTTTGTGGCTTCCTTTCCAACCGGGACACCTTTTTATTGTAAGTTATTACAAGCTTCACTTTATTAGCGTTTGTCTTTGTTGTCGACCTCTTTGTTTGGACTCCTCATCGTGATCAGAAGCTGAATCTGATTCCATGTCACAAAAACACAACCTGTTTCAACAAGATTGAAATTAAATTAAGTACGTTGTTATTTGTTGCAGTTGGACATTGATTAATCACATTCAAAATCTGAAATAAAAACATACCAAAAACTTTATTGTTCTGCAAAAAAAATATTTACACTAATATGCCCTCGCCATCCGGACGCGTACACAAAAAATCATCATCAAGGTCTAATAAAGCGGAATCTTGTGCTAAATCAAAAGTAACATCAAATTCCAGCATATCATCAGTTTCACCATTTGATCCATACTTGTACATCCTATGAGGTGTGAATCCAACAACATGCAAATTCTCATCTTGTTGATCTTGAACATAAAAAACTTGTTTGACTTGACTAGCTAATACGAAGGGTTCAGACTTTTGATCAAGCCTATCAAAGTTAACTACCGTGAATCCTAAATCATCCTTTTTTACTCCACGACTATCAACCCAATCACACATGAATACAGGAATACTAAACATGTGATAATTAAGATCCCATATCTCCTTTATACGGCCGAAGTAAGTAACAGCACCATACACAGGATTGGAGTCTTTTGCACTAGCAATCTGCATAGTATGTGCAACTAAAGACACTCCACTGCATTGAGTTGTTCTAGACTCATCACGAGATGTTGTATGAAAATGATATTCATTTATGGCAAAACCGCTATATTTAGTAACAGTAAAATTAGGCCCTTTGGCCAACCAACGAACATCATCACAAATATCTTCCCCGTTAGCCAAACGTTTTCCAACCTAATAGAAAAATATATAATTAATGTAATTCAAAAAAATAATTAAAAATATTGTAATTCTAACAATCTTATTTTAAAAAAAACCTCTTTCTTAAACCAACTAATAAATGTCCGACTATGTTGGCTCTGCAACCATGTACTCTTGCGAGCATGACGGGGGTTCAGATCCTTCAACTCCAACATATGTTGCCTGAAGTGTATTACAAGTTAAAAGAATGTTTTATATGATAGATAATGGTATAAGAGTATACAGTTTCATGTAATTCTTACTCTATATACGGCTCCACAACAGCAGTGTTTCGTAATACATAAAGATGAGCTTGATCAAGTAACTGAGCATCTACAGCATCAATTGTAGCCTTTGATAAAGGCTTGCCACTGCGGATTCTTTCATCAACACGCTCATGAGGATTGCCAATTGATTTCTTGTTTTTTAAGTAGTCTGAACAAAATTCTAAGGCCTCCTCTGCCACATAACACTCTGCAATGCAACCCTCGGGTCGATGATGATTTCTTACATACCCTTTAAGTGTTTTCATGTATCTCTCAAATGGATACATCCACCTAAAATGAACCGGGCCACACAACCTCACCTCTCTAACTAAATGCACCATCAAGTGAGTCATGACATCGAAAAATGAAGGAGGAAAGTACTTCTCTAACAAACATAATGTTAATACGATGTCACTTTGCAACTTGCCTAGCTTACTAACATCAACAACTTTACTACACAACTCATTGAAAAAATGACACAGGCTTAGGATTGTTCTCCGCACCTTCACATCTAACACCCCTTTGATTGCAAATGGAAGAAGTTGTTGCATTAGTACATGGCAATCATTAGACTTCAAACCATTCATCTTTGAAACATCATCCGACACGAGATTCTTGAAATTAGAGCAATACCCATAAGGAACTTTTATGTTAGACAGGGTTTCATAAAATAGATGTTTCTCTGCGGAATTCAATGTGTACTTGGCAGGCGGAAGCCAATGTCGATCCCCTTTTGGTTCAGGTCGTAATTCAGTCTTGATGCCCAACGCTTCAAGATCTTGTCGTGCTTTTAATCCATCCTTCGTCTTGTGAGGCAAATTCAACGCTGTCCCATAAACACTCTCGGTCACATTTTTTTCTATGTGCATGAGATCTAACTGATGGCGAACAGGCAACTTCTTCCAATATTCAAGTTAAAAAAAAATCGACTTCTTATGCCAAAATTTAGATCTCTCGTCGATACTTTCTTTTTTCTTCTTTGTCTTTTCCTTCTTTGGTGTTTCCTTCTTTGACGCTCCCTTCCTTGACTTTATCTTCTTTAACTTTATCTTATTTGATCCTACCTTCTTTGGCTTTATCTTCTTACCCCATGTAGTCTCAAATCCCGCCAGATAGTCATAAATCTCTTCACCTGATGATGGTTGTGGCATAAAATCGTGCTCCTGTTGATTGTTGAAATGTTTTTTTCTTTTGCGAAAAGGATGTTCAAGTGGTAGGAATCTTCTATGCCCAAGGAAGCATACTTTTTTGGACTTTGGCAGCCATTGTGAACAAGTATTCTTTGAACATATTGGACAAGCATAATAACCTTTGGTAACACAACCCGAAAGATTACCATACGCGGGAAAATCACTTATAGTCCAAAGTAATATTGCTCTTAAATTGAAGTATTCTTTCTTATGAGAATCAAAAGTCTCAACGCCAGTTTCCCACAAGAGCTTTAGATCTTCTATCAATGGTGCCAAGTAGACATCAATATTGTTACCAGGTTGGTTTGGCCCGGATATCAACAGAGTCAACATCATGAATTTTCTTGACATACACAAATAAGGGGGTAGATTATATGTTATTAGGATAACCGGCCAACAACTATGCTTGGAACTTAATGACTTGTGTGGATTGATACCATCAGCAGACAAGGCTAATCTAAGATTTCGTTTTTCCTGTCCGAATTCTTTCCACGTGTTATCAACAAGCTTCCAAGAAGGGGTATCGCGAGGATGAGTAAGCTTCCCACTATTGACCCGACCTTGTGCATGCCAAGTTAAGTCATGTGCAATTTGTGGTATTGAAAACATTCTTCTAAATCTAGGAATGATAGGAAAATACCACAAAACTTTTGAAGGTACGTTTTTGGAATTCTTCTTCCAACGAGAAGTGCCACAAGTTGGACATTGAGAAGCATCTTTATGTTCTTTCCAGAATAGAACACAATCATTTTCACATGCATGAATCTTCTCATATTGTAGACCTACTGCTTTTAGCAACTTCTTGGACTCATATATCGAGCTAGGGATGGTATTGTTTGATGGTAAGATATCTTTTAGGACAGACAACAAAGCATCAAAACTAGCATCAGACCATCCAAATTGACCCTTCAAATGTTGGAATTTCAATAATCCACTAAGTGCATTATACTTCGACCCTACATAAAGTGGCTTATCACACTCTTCAAGAAGTGATTTCAACGAATCAGGTTCATCGTCTACGTATTTGAAGGCATCATGAAGCATATCCTTTGTATAAATAGCATCAGGAGGAATGGAATTGTTAGGGCATCTAGAATCACTATTGGGTTGTTTTTCTCCATGGAAAGACCAAATCTTATAATTCTCATCGAAGCCGTGGGCAAACAAATGATAACGGACATTGTCAATTGAGTGGTGACACAAATTGATGCAATTTACACAAGGGCATGGAATAACATCTAACTTTGGATTATTAGTTTGTGCAAACTCTAGAAAAGCATTCACACCTTCATCATATGCATTTGATAATCTACTAGAGGATATCCATGATTTATCCATTAAACATTTGTTGCCAACCTACATAATTATTTACCATATAAAGCAATAATGATTACGCATGTTTAGGGACAAAAACTATGCAAAAACAAAACTGTACAGGGCCAAAACTATACAGGGACAAAAAAATTGTACAGGGGCCAAAACTGTACAATGACAAAACTGAAGCAGGGACCAAAACTGTATAGGTTATCAATTACTTTTTCAGCATCCAGTTACTTTTTCAGCTTGTTTGAATATTTTTATGTGTTTGTTATAAAATTTTATGAACTTTTACAAAAATTTGAAAATTAGAAATACTTTTAAAATTTTGAATATGATCTTTTGCAGAAATTTGAAAGTTAGAAATGGGCTAAACAGGTGTCCAACACAAAACCACCTGCAAACCCGTTACTTCATAATTTATGTGTTTGACCTTTTTACCCTTGGGTGGTCAATCTGTTTAAACTTAGCTTTATTTTTCAATATGTAATTAGCTAACTGTAATATTTTCTTTAATAAATACAGATTGCTCCAAGCCCAATCTTACAAATATAAATACATGCATTTGATATTTGGTTTCACCTATTTTTAAGAATGGGAATTAGTGAAAGTTGTGTTAGTTAGATAGAAAGTAACTGCCATAATTAGGTATTAACTGTCAGTTGACAGTTACATTCTAAAAATGTATAAATATTTATGTTTGATGTTAATTGTGATTAATACTGCATAAGAACTTCCTATAGGTATGGCTGTTCTTTGTTGTTTCTTTCTTTCTTTCTTTCTCTTCTGTCTTTGTTGGTTAATGAGTTGATGTTTCTACTTGTTTCCATTCCTGATTTAATGTGGCAGATTGAGGTTAGTAAAATTTTCATCACACGTCGATTAATTATCATTTTATTATTATTTAAAGATGATTGAATTCATTTGTATGAATCCTGTGAAAGGGTGAGTACCTAAGATCTATAAAAGATCTGTTAGAAAAGGTTGTTTTTATTATCTGTTTCTGTGAAAGGTAAACTCTCTGTTTCTCAAGGTTGTTTTTATTATCTGTAATAACTTTAGTTATAGATTAATTATTGTTTTTGTTATAATATGATTGAATTGATTTGTATGAATCCTGTTAAAGGGTGAACATGATGGATCTGTTAGAAAAGAAGAGGTGCAGGTGTTATATGTATTGCTTGTAGAGTAGCAAGAAGCTTTTTGGATGACATTCTTTTTAATCTCATTCTGTTGAGCTATATGTTATAAACGAATATTCACAAAAATGAATTTTTAATCAAAATAATATAATAGAATCTATATTAGAAAATGAAAAATAAAAAACTTATGTACCCTAGAAAATAGATAGATTAAAAATAAATACCTTTATGTACCCTAAAAAATAGATAGATTAAAAATAAATACCTTTTCTTACCTGAGTATGTGGAATATCAGTGTAATTTATAGCAGAAACTGTTGCTTTATCACCCTTTGAGCCTGCAGCAAGTAACAAAAAAATTGTAACTCATTGTAACTATATGCATATTGCAATGCACAATCACTCATAAATCCAATTAAAAAGACTTTTTAGTTGTTAAAATCGCCTAAGAGCTTTCTAAAACTCGAATGTTGTAAGTTTCTTGAAAAGACTTCATTAAAGTAACTAAAAATCACGTTTTCATAAAGCAAGCAATGCTGTCAACTCAGAAATCATGCCCATTTATGCTTTAGTGTGACCATGAAACACTCCACAGTCAGA